AGAGGGCAACCGGATATACTGCTGGCCAGCAACAAAACAAAGTACATGCTCCAATCAACAACATCTACAACACACGAAGCCACATGTCGGAGAAAACACAAGGTGTCTTCTTTATTATGGGTTTTCTGATGGGCATGATACTGGGTGTGACCTCGCACTGTGTGACCACACACACACACACACACACACACACACACACACACACACACACACACACACACACACACACACACACACACACACACACACACACACACACACACACACGCTGTTTGGTTCCTCCTGACTTTACACTATATAAGCTTGATGTTACTTCCTGCTCCTTTGAGCAGCTTACATCATGTGTGTGTGAGTTGAACCATATTCTTTGTATGTGACTTAACTCTGCTCCTTCTTGCAAGAATAAATTAGTACCTGACTTGATTCTCAACCCGGTGTCGAGTGATATTTTCCTAACACCACACAATCAGAGATAACATTGTCAGTGATGAGAGGGGTGAACTCTATTCGACTCAGATAAATGCATGTTTAAGATCTTTTTGGAATTCATTTACTTTGTCAAAGTGTCTGAAACTAACCTGATGATCATTCTTGCCAGCAGTGTGACATACAATGCGTTGCAGGTGGAGGCAGAGCGGCAGTGCCTCTCCAGCTTCTTCTCCTGCAACAAATAGGTGTGGCATTCTCAGAAAATAAAAAACCCTCTTAGGAACCGATTCCAAACATCTTTTACATTTAATTTGAAAATGCGGATGGTGGGATGCTAACTGACCTGGTCCTTGGTTAGTTTGAGTTCCATGCTCTGGCACTCTGCATTCACAACGCTCCTCACCTCTCTGGGACTCAGAGGGTCCAGGTGTAGAGTGGGCCACAACCTAAACAGACATGATCACTGAATTACAGAGAGCGATACTACAGGTACATGTTTGGAATCATATATCCCTGCAATAAACTGCATTTTGAACCAGTGGAAGACAGAGAGGCGAAGTCCCTCCCTCCGAGTCCGGGGAGCTCCATGGACCTTATTTCTGAAAAAGTATGTATTGAAGTCAATGGAGAGAGAAAGATTATCTTTCCATCCCGTTTGAATTGTGCCACGAATTACACATATGATGTTTGTCAATTTAAAAGATCATTTTGCAAGTCAAGAAAAATGAAAATGTGTGGTAAAACTGTGAAGTAACACTTTGTGTGAAACCGCTCAATGAACTACATCTCCCGTCTCGCTCCACACACCCAGACGGCCGTCACGTTGGCACATTTCACTTCTTTCTTTCAGAACGAGGCGGAAAGTATTAAAAGAAGTGAAAATCACTCCAAGTCTGGGCATGTTGAGAGCTGTACATACACACAAGGGGAGTTAGTCGGTTCCTAAGAGCCAGCATGCGGGACCGGGACTCTGGGATTTGTAGTCTTTCTAGCTGCATATTTTTCATAGTCTTATATTTCAACAGTTTTACGACAAAATGTGACTTTTTTGACATGAAAATGATTTTTTAAGATTAACAAACATCATATGTGTAATTCATGGCA